AGGCAATCCACTCACCTCAGCCTCCCAAAGGCGCGGGATTACAGGCTGAGCCACTGAGCCCAGCGATGTGACATTTCTATATTGACTTTATAACAAGATTTAAGATTTCATAGGGGTGTAGTGCAGAGAGACATAACTTCTATAGAGTTTAGTGGTTATGAATACTATTTTTTTTTTTTTGAGTTGGAGTCTCACTCTGTTGCCCAGACTGGAGTGCAGTGGCCGCTCCCGGCCACCGCAGCCTCGACCTGCTGGGCTCCGGCGATCCTTCCGCCTCAGCCTTCCAAGTAGCCGGAATTACAGGCATGCGCTACCACGCCCGGCTGATTTTTTGATTTATTGTAGAGATGAGGTTTCGCCTGCCCAGGCGGGTCTCGACCCCACGAGCTCAGGCAATCCACTCACCTCAGCCTCCCAAAGGCGCGGGATTACGGCTGAGCCACTGAGCCTGGCTGTGAATACTATTTTTATGGTCATTCATGCAGTTTGATTCTTGGCCTTGTCACTTAACTACTGTTTGACTATAGGGAAGTTACTTAAGCTTTTGCTTCCTAAACTGTAAAATAGAGATGATAGTATCTAATTTGGATGCTTGAGGATTAATACTCATATGTGTAAAGCACTTGGCAAAAAAATATCAGCTATTACTCTTTTGGTTAGAGTAACCAAGGAAGAAACTGATCCTTACAGGGTGGCTAAGATTTCAACAAACTCCAGATCCTGGCTGGAGTGAGGGCTGAATGAGGAACTCCAGGTAGAGGGAATGAAATAAGCAGTGGGCCACACACTCATGGAAAACCTACTATGTGCTAGAAGCGTGAGATCCAAGGCTGATGAAGACCTATCCTCAGAGAGGAAAATAGAGAATAGTTATATTTTGACATGACATGAGTTTACATAATAGGAAAGCAGCAGAAGATAAAGGTAGAATGGTAAGTTTATTCATTTGTTAAACAAATATTTCCTGGGTGTCTACCACATACCAGGTGCCTGTGCTGGGAAAAGAAGAGGGTATAAATAGCCAGCCTGCACACTAGCTAGCTAGCTCTGACTTTGAGAAGACAAAGCCTAGAATTATTAGATCTGAACCTGAACTTGGGGCTAAGAATATAGAAGCCCTTCCATGGCAAAGTGAAAATTAATCAGGCCGGGCTTGGTGGCTCAGCCTGTAATCCCAGCACTTTGGGAGGCCGAGGTGAGTGGATTGCCTGAGCCTGTGGGTTCGATACCCGCCTGGGCAACTTGGCGAGACCTCATCTCTACAATAAATCAAAAAATTAGCCAGGCGTGGTAGCGCACGCCTGTAGTTCCAGCTACTTGGAAGGCTGAGGCAGAAGGATCACCGGAGCCCAGCAGGTCGAGGCTGCGGTGGCCGGGAGCAGCCACTGCACTCCAGTCGGTGACAGAGTGAGACTCCGACTCAAAAAAAAAAAGAAAAAAAAAATTAATCAAAATGATTACCTTTAAAATTTATTTTATTTTTACTTTTTTTGAGTTGAGGTCTCAGTCTGTGGGCCAGACTTGAGTGCAGTGGCACAGTCACGGGTCACCACAGTCTCGACCTCTTAACCTCTGGTGATCTTTCCACCTCAGCCTCCCAAGTAGCTGGGACTACATACAGATGCAGGCCACCATGCCTGGCTAATTTTTTTTTTTTTGAGTTGCAGTCTCACTCTGTTGCCCAGACGAGTGCAGTGGCACGCTCCCGGCCACTGTAGCCTCAACCAGCTGGGCTCCAGTGATCCTTGCGCCTCAGCCTTCCAAGTAGCTGGAACTACAGGTGCACGCTACAAAACGCTGGGCTAATTTTTGACTTATTGTAGAGACGAGGTCTCACCAAGTTGCCCGGGTAAGTCTTGAACCCGCAGGCTCAGGCAATCCACTCTTCTTGGCCTCCCAAAGTGCGGGATTACAGACTGAGCCACTGAGCCCGGCCAATTTTTTTTTTTTGAGTCAGATTCTTACTTTGTCATCCAGGCTGGAGTGCAGTGGCACACTCGCGGCCACCACAGCCTTGATGTGCTGGGCTCAGGCAATCATTCCACCTCAACCTTCCAAGTAGCTGGAACTACAGGCACGTGCCACCATGCCCAGCTAATTTTTTGATTTATTGTAGAGACAAGGTCTCACCAAGTTACCTAGACTGGTCTCAAACCCCTGGGCTAAAGCAATCCTCTCACCTCAGCCTCCCGAAGTGCTGAAGTTATAGGCGTGAGCAACCACACCCAGCTTAATTTTTTTATTTTTTGTAGATATGAAGTCTCATTTTATTGCCCCGGCTGCTCTCAAACTCCTGGGTTCAAGCAGTTCTCTCACCTCAGCCTTCCAAAGTGTTGGGATTACAGGCGTGAGCCACCGTGCCCAACCTAAAATTATTACTAAGTGGGCAGAGAGCTGTCCACCACATACTGCCCATATGAACCTCAAGGTACAGGCTTTCTATATCCAAGAAAATAGACCCCAAACCTTATCATGTGAAAGAGTGGCTATAATTTATAATATTGAAATTAATAATCCACGCAAATGGATTATGGCATCACCATTGATTCATATTAACTTAACACAATGACCAGTCAAGAACCTTTTCTACAGAGCAATCTGCTAATATGCACAAACGCCTTGAATAGATGACTTCCTTTGACTCAGTAAATTTCCCTTACTGAAGTTAATCCCAAGGAAGTGATTGGACAAGTACACAATAATAGCACCACAAACATGTTTGTCTCAGCAATGTATTTGGTTTGTTTGCTTATCTGCTTGTTTTTAGAAATTGGGGTCTTGCTCTGTCATCCAGGTTGAAGTGC